TCATGAGCCATTTTTGACAGTTGTAACTCACTTTAAACTGACTTAAATTGTGAGACCCTGAACCTTTGCAGTTCATGTGGTATTAAAACTTCATTTTATTCGAGACTTTGGCTGTTAAACTTCTGTGATGTAATATTATTTTGTTTTATTTTATTTTGAAAATTTTTTATTTTTTCTTAATTTATCAAAAAATTTATTATTTTATAATTAAGTTATTTTGTTTTAATTTATTAAGGATTTAAAAAAAGAAATTTTGAAGAAAAATGCTGTGGGAAAGACCTAGCCCATGCGGGCCTACCTACATGCTCGCACGGAGGCACTTGCGCGCGCTAGACCAGCTAGACGTGCGCGCAGGCGCACGTCCAATCAGTCGGGAGCCCATATCGCGCCCAATCTACACGAGAATCCTGCACGCAAACCCACACGTCAAGCACGCGACTTAGTGCTCTCCCTGCGTGCGCAGATCCCGCAAGTAGACCTGTTGCGTCAGGCATGCGCTTGTGCGATGCGACTGCACAGGACAGCCTGCGCGCGCGTCAATGCACCGTCTGGGTGGGCAAACTAGCCTGCCGCGTGCGGTGCCTCGAGCCCTGCACCATTGCTGCTGCCGCCGCTGCCTTGGGAGCTGTGTCTCCTCCTTGGCCAGCTAATACTGATGACATCATGATGATGTCATCATTTTCCCTTCCTCATGGATTTGTGACACTTATCGCAAATCTAACAGTTCTCTTCTTTTATAAATAAAGACCATAATTTGGATGTCAGAATAAAAAAAAAATTTATTTATAATTTGGAGACCATAACTGTCTCTTTATAGGCAAACCCTGCCTGTGAAGATTTTATATTTCTAATTTGATTCATTACAAAATTGAAAATTACAGATTTGCTCTCTACACATAAAAATAAAATTCATACTTTAATTTAATTCATTAAGATCTAATATATCCTCAGTATTGGATCACTTTTAACCGGACCCAATAAATTTGATAGCTTTTTATGAGCAATAATTTATACATATAAGCCTATATGATAAATTTAAAATCCAACATCTTTCACATGTTTGTAAATTGAGTATGACTATTTATTAAACAAGTCCATTCAAGTTTAGTTTTAACATTTTACATGTCTTATTCTTACTCAAGTTTTCATTTCAAGTAGTGTAAATATGTCTTCTTTTATCTATCCACATCATTCTCATATGACTACACTCTATTATATGTTGAATATATTATTCTAACTATTTCTACTGACTTGTCAAAACAAGAGTGTTTAATACCTGATATAGTTTCCATTATTTTTGGGTCCAGGTTTTTTATAATACCTATTTAATAATGAAAAGGAAAAACAGAGCAGTTTAGTCAGCTATTTATCTTTAGACAAGAAATTTTCGTCTTAAAGAGGTTTGAGTAGTGAAACTTGCAGAATAAGTGAAGAATTGACAGAAAAAGAGTTTCAAACAAGGGATACATCTGAGTCCTGTGCGTATAGGATATAAAAGGGAATTCATATATAAGGCAATGCTAAATTGTGAATTTTGTATATTTTGACCAATTCCATATAAATAAATGTTATATAATCACACGAGTGGTCTAGAAAGACCCTCTTGTCTTATAAGAAAGAGAGGAAAAGTTGGATTATGCAAGTTCCATATTTTATGTGATTTTTTTGTAAGTGAATTGCATATGGAACGTTAGGTAGATACCAAGAAAGAGAACAGGTCACAAGACTAATTGTGCTTTGTGGAACTGCAAAGCTTTATGCCATCTAAGAAAAAATGGCTGCCTCTCTTTCCAGAACACAACCAATTTGCCATACTCGCTCTAACAGCTTGTCCTCTAGGCCTCATCCATTAAGGTCAAAAGCTGGTGAATATTTGAGCAGATTAAGGTCTTCCGAATTCACCTCTACATCTTCTTCATCCATTGGCCAAAAACTAAATGAACTTCAAGATTTGCATGATGGTATTGCTAAGTTGCTTCAGTTGCCTCTCACTCAGCAAGCTTTCACCGGAGTGCAGAACAAGGCATTGGTTGATGAACTGTTTGATGGATCTCTTAGGCTCTTGGATCTTTACAGCAGTGCCAAGAATGCCTTGTTGCAAACCAAGAAAAGTGTGCATGAGTTTCAATCAGTCATCCGAAGAAAAAGAGGTGGTGAAATTGCAGACGAGGTTAAGAAATTCATAGCCTCTAGGATGACTGGGAAGATGACAATCCAAAAAGTCTTGAAGAGCTTGAAGTGTTTGGAAAATAACTACATCTTTGACAAAGACAAAGAAAGCTTTACTACATTGCTGAGTGAGATAGCAGCAGTAACCGTTGCAGTGTTTGAGTCATTGTTGTTCTTTATCTGTGGTTCATAGAGTTAAGAAACAGATTATATTTGGTTTGATATGGAAAGCTGGACAATTCTCAGCTTTAGTTTCATTGAACTTCTCCACCTGGAAAAATTTCTGGAAACCTGAAATTTTATCTCCTGTTTATTTCCTTATTTTTTTTCTTTTTTCTTTGTTTTTCTTTCTTTTCTTAATGGGCTGGACTTAACACTACTTTTCTCTGTCAGAGCAAAACGTAAGGAAGCCCCTCTTCCCTTATACACTAAATTTCAGAACATATAAGGATTTCATAACATAATACTTTGTTTAAGATGGTTTGTTTACTTGCTGTTGTATGTGAGGAGGGCAGAGGCTATGGAGTTTAGAAAAAGCAGGGAAAAAACAGAGCACAGTAAATTTAGTTGGAGCAGCTGGTTCACTTAGGACTAACTGAATTTTTTTGTTTTTTAATTTTTCTTAAAATTTTATATTTAAGTTAACGGCTTTACCTTTTTCTGGGAAAAAAAGCTCCTTTTTATATTTTTAAATTTTTTCTTCCACCCAAAATTATATATACAGTATTGAGATAAAAAGAGAAAAGGATATAAAAAATATGACCTGGATTAAACTCATATATTATCTACTAACTAATCTCGATTTTTGGTTCTTATTACTAAATTTGTTCCTCTTTCTTCATGTTCATGAAGAATTTCATTTTAAAAACTTGTGTAGGAAAATGAGTCTAAAATTTAGGATCTTGATATTTATACTAGTTTATTAAATGGTAGTTTAGGAAAACTTTAGACCTTCATATTTAATTAATAATTAATTTCCTATTTCTTTATTTATTATTATTGTACTTATTTATTATGTATATATATATTTTTCTTGATTATAGGTGATTAAATTATCCCCTCCACCAAAAGAAAGTTTAGCCCCTTAAGCTTCAAAATCCAACTGACCGAATAAAGAAACATATTGGACTAGTATCTCTTCCTCCAACTGCTGAGTTGCTTCTCTCTCTGCTAGAAAGCAGAGAAGAAACAGAGCACAGAAAATTTAGTTGGAGCAGTTAGTTGACTGCTTTCTGGTGAAGAAAATTTAGTCTTGGAATTTTATATGGGGATGAATTGCATTTCTTCTGTTCAAAGGAAGATTGCATGGTTGAAGCTAGGAAATCTTTTGACAAAAAACCAAAGTTGAATGGCATTTCTTATAATGTGCTCTCAAGGTTGTGCAGACAAAGTAATTCAACAATCCCTTAAGATTTTCCTGGAATTGAACTTTACAGGGTTTGATCGGAAGAGCTTTCGATTTGCAACAGTTTTGATTATCCCCAACATAATTTTTCTGTCAATGAAAAATCTTCTCCACTCTCTTTCTGGTTTTCTCCTTTTATTTTCTTGTCCTCTTGCTTTTTTTGGAGGTAATTGGCTATGCATGATGTAGTTTTTGCTCAATCACCAAACACATCGAGCATGAAGCACAACCACGTAAATTTAAACAACAAAGCTAAATATTTTTGGTAAAATAGTGTTGACAAGAGTGATTTGGCTCAAAAAAATCTGTTTTTGATTTTATGTACATCTATCATCATTTGTAAGCTAGTGATTCAGTACATTGAGAAGGGTGACTCTAGTCTTGATTAATCTTCTATACAAGCACTCAAGTCCTTCTTCAAGATCTTGAATACACAACTCCAAATCCCTCAGTTGCTCTTGCATATTCTCAACAGATTTGCTTATCTTGTGATCACAAAGAGATTGCAATGCACAGTCCACCATGGCAAATTCATTTTCATCTGCTTCCTCTTCATTGCTTGCTGTTTTTTTCTGGTGCATCAATTTGGAAACTAATAACCATCCACTTGGCTTCAATTGTGACTTTGAGCCTGAGATAAAGAGCAACAATGACTCGAAAACATTGAGAGTAACTGCTTCCACTTCTTTTAACATGGTAACCACAGTTATTGTATCCTTGTCTTTGTTCAAGGGAGAAGGTTTGAATTGCTTTTGCATGCTCTTCAAGCTCCCCATGGCCTTGCGGATTGTCTTCTTAGCCGCCTTCCTTGATGCTAATATTTTCTTAACCTCGGTTTCAACTCCAGATTTTCTTCGAATGGTTGAAAGAAGTTCTAGAGTGCATTCCTTTGCTTGGAGCAAGGCATCTTTAGCAGTGCTGCAGATGTCCAAGAGCCCCATAGATCCATCAAGCAAGGCGTCGACCCATTTCGCTTTCTGCTCTTGTAACAATGTTCTTTGGGTGAGAGGCAAGAGAAGCAACTTCTCAACACAATCATGCAAATCTTGAAGGTCATTTAGATTGTGACTTATTGATGATGAAGATGAAGATGCACCTTCGGAAGCTTTTATTCTGCACAAATTCTCTTCAAGCTCTGGAAGGAAAGGATGTGGTCTAGAAGGCAAACTGTTGGAGCGAACATGGTAGGCAGCCATTTTTTCCCTACAAAAGAGAAGGCCTTGAAGATGAGTATTACTAAACTTACTTCTTGAGAATGTGCCTTCTGTTCTTTGCATCTCTTCAATATATATGGCAGGCTAAGGGAGACAAAGGGAATCTCTTTCTCTTAAATTATGGATTACAAGTAGATTAAATATATTGATTTGGATCTAGGTCCTATCTCAGCAATGCTTTTGCATGTTTCCCTCACACCAGCCAGTTATCAATAATTCATCAAACCAAACGTGTTACTATTATAAAATATGCAAATGCATGAAAGGCATTACATGATATACAATCGTATTATTTACCAGATTCAAGACTTATTAGGTGATTCAATCATAATGTCATTGCTGTGCAGGAGGCAGGCAAGATCTCCATACACGGAATATGTTGTCTTCATGTACATACAAAAAGCTTTGAAGTATAGTTTATTAGTTTCTTGTCATTATTTGCTCATGAGGGTAGAGACAAGTAGCATCTCAAGCACTATGAAACTGAGTTTAAAATTTTCCAAGAATTATGCAAGTTGCTTTCCAAACCCATGTGACATTTTGAGTCCAGCCATTTCATCTCATCAAGTAAGATGTTTAGCATGCAAGAGGCAGGCGAGCTTTTTTCTCTTGCAATGCCATCCCACTGAAAACAAAATTACCAAAGAGGTTCACTTTCAATCCTATTGGAGCAGCTTAATATATATTTCAGGTGGGAGGGGCACATGGAATCTCGACTGCTTTATAGACATTGATGTTCATTCAGTGTCTCTGCACACCAGCTGTTCTTTAATTCAGAAACTTCTGGTTTACAATTTTATATTTGCATGTTGACATGTTTCTTCTAAAATCATCAGTGGCACACAAATGTATCGTTCACCAGCATTTTGTTATGAATTCTCTTGACTTATAATCCCTTGATCCATTGCGATAAAAGTAATGATTTGAAATAGGGAAAATGGCCAAGCTGGACTGTCTTGTAGGTTTGGCAAAATTGTCAATGCCATTCGTATATTGCATCTTTAGCACATTCTTTTTTTTTTTTTTCTGATATGAGGTCCTTAAAATACGTTTTTGTAAAGTTGTCAAGCTTGTGGTAGAGAGACATTTCATAAACATCACTGAGATTGCCTACATATCGGAACAAAAATCATGTTACTATCAATTGAATAGAAGAAGATGAGATTCCTCACGTTTCTATAATTGTATATATTGAGCAGATGCCAAGAAGGAGAGCATGTCACAGGACAGAATTCCACATCAAAACATCAAAGCTTCTCTTTCTAAGCAGGAAAAATGTCTCCTACTCTTTCAAACTCTCAACCAATTTACCACACCTGTTCTAACAGCTTTCCCCCTAGGCCACATCCTCTCAGTTTGGAAATCAGTGAGCACTTGAAGAGATTAAGGTACTCTAAGGCAACATCTACTTCTTCATCATCTTAAGCCAACAACTACATGGCCGTCAATATTTGCATGGTTATATCTGTAAGTTGCTTCAATTGCCTCACACAAAGCAAATTTTCACCCAAGAGCGGCAAAAGATCTTCTTTGATGAAGTGTTGGATGGGTCTCTCTAGCCATTGGATCTGTGCAGCATTGTCAAGGATGCATTGCTCCAAACCAAAGAAAGTATCCACTACTTTCAATCAGCGATTCGAAGAAAAAAGAGAGGGGAAATTGCAATTCCTGAGGTTAGGAAATTAATAGCATATAAAAAAGCTGTGATTAAGACAATCAAGAAGATCTTGATGAGCTTAAAGGATTTGGAGAGTAGATACAAATCTGATAAAGATGATGAAGTTTTTCCCATGATTAGTTTGTTGAGAGAAGTGAGAGAAGGCACTTTGGTGGTCTTTGAATCATTGTTCTCCTTAATATCTGGATCAAAGGCACCATCAAAGTCCAGCAGCAGAAACTGGGGTTTACTTTCCAAGCTGGTGGACAACAAAAGATTAGCTTGTAAGGAAGAAGCAAATGTCAACAAATTTGCATTGGCGGATGCTGCTTTGAGTTCTGTCATTGGCTGAAAAAACAAAGAGACCAACAAAATTGAGAATCTGCAAAGCATGGTTCTAAACTTAGAGCTGTGTGTTCAAGATCTTGAAGGAGGACTTGGCTGCCTCTTTAGGTGCTTAATCAAAGACTTTCTATTATCAATATCTTCAGGCACCAGACTTGAAATGATTTTGACTGATATTTTTACGTGAAAAGG